GACAGGATTTCACTCGCGATCGTTCTTCGTACGGGAAGGCTTTTCGGGTTACCGGTTTTTGAACCCGTATCTCACTGTACTAATACTGAGATCATGATATAGAGCACATTTTGCGTCTGTATACGATTTAAACAGTATTTGCGGTATTTTTCAAGCATATTTAAACAAATCTTTTGAATTCATATCAGCACTGACACGTGAAACGTGCAGATGCCCCCGTCGAGGGAGTGTATTAAAATTAGAAGAAATTTTGCTACCGAAAAGCGGTTTGTTGTATTTATTTATTTTATTATGTGTCGCGGAATTTCTTTCGGCAATTATGCAATGGGTACCACCAAACCGCAGAAAGAGAGGAAGACCCAGAAATCTTGGAGAGAGGAGTAACGAAAGGCGATGAGGCAAGAGCTCTTAGAGAGGAAACAATGGATGATAGAGTGCCATGGAAATTAGGCATCGGACAACGTCGTGACGTTAAACCGATTGTATCATATAATAATCACTATATATCTATATATATTAATATATAACATATATATAATTCTAATAATCCTTTCGGAATCGCCTACTTGTTTTGAATTCAACCAATATTTGTTCCGTAGGTTTTTGTTCAGGTTCACTAGCCGACCCAAGTTTTTGCTCGTTTATTTTATATTTGCTTTTCTAGAATTTGCATTAGTTGTTGATGTTTTAATAGAATCTGATTAATTTACTGGTGTTATGGCGGTACATGTTGCAAAATTGAATTAGTATATTTGTAGTTTTTAACAATAATATTAAATCTTCTTGTTCTTGTGTCTTTTTTCAAGTAGACAAGACAGTTTAACTTACGATTTTTAGGATCTCTTTTAATAGCGACATAATCTAACGACATCTACTCCATAGACGGATCACCAAGCTTAGTCTATCCAAATTTTGCGCCACCTGGGTATGATATCGAACTATTTCTAATGGCAATGAAGAATTAAAAGAAGAAAGTATATATATATATATTATATAATGTGTTGAAACAAATAATACCTGACGCCGTTAAAGTGAGAGATAGATAATAGCGCCCGAAAAAAGACTAACTCAAAAACTATATATTTCCCATAAAAAATATTCGTGATTTATAACCCAAAATATGTAAATATGCCAAATTTCATAAAAATCGGATAGGAGCCTGTCTACTAAACAGTTATCAAAACTATAATAAAAGGCACAGGGATGAAATTATCTTTTTTTAAAGGAGGAAAAATAAAGAAAAATTTTAAGACTATAGAAGATTTTTAATTAGGATAAATACAATCCAAGAACCAATCGTTTTATTAACTTACCTCCAACAAGTTGATCGACAATAAAAATAATTGGTTAAATAATAGTCTCAAATATACACACTAAACAACTAATTAACACACTAAATAACTAATTAACACTAAAAATACAAACTATAAATAAGAATAATACGGATATAAGGAAGAATAAACACCAAATTAGATTAAAAACAATATAAAATGGAGAACGTAAACAAACGTAAACTGTTAAACGGGTAACATAAACATAAGTCATAGAACACTAACAAACATTTCGACTCTGTCATCAAACAGATACCATAGAACAATTGTTACCGTGATTGTTACTGTTCTCTGAAAATACTTCATTATCGCGACATCTATTGATGGATATCGGTAATACAATTTTATATTTGACCTTGGTCATCTGCGTGAAACGTCTATTGGTGTAAATGGTCTTTGGTCATAATCTATCCCAAGTCTTCCACAATCACAAGATAAATTTTCACTCGGGTCATGAAATTTGTCTTCTTTTACACTGTCTGTAGCTTGTAGTTTGTAGCTTTATCACTAAGCTTATTCACATAATTTATTAACTGAATGTTTATCACTGTCACTGGTAACTTAAAATTAACTAAAATGTCCACAAGTTCGTTCTTTTTCAATTTATTTAATTCCGTCGTTATGATGGCTGACTACTAGCCGCCATTTTGGAATTTTTTGAATACTTGGTATACAGCCAAACACAGGAATCTAGTTTCCTTGTGGAAAAAAATAGTTTTAACGATAGATAAATAGTAATGAAAAAAAATACATAAAAATAATTTTTTAACAGTTTGCAAAAAATTACCTAAACAATCTAATTTTTTTAAATTCAAATATTTTTCCTTGGCTCAATTTTGAATAAAAATGTTTGAAAAAAAAAAATAATAGTGTTTTTGGGCATTAAAACGTATATTTATAATTTTTTTCAGATTTTTTGGAGCAATGGATCGCTCAGGAAAATATTTTTGCGATATGGGACTCCTGGGGACACCTACAGGGGTCCAAGCTACCGGGCTTTGTGAATATGTTGTTTCGAGTGCTCAATCCTAAATAAAAATTCAGCCAAGTGCAGATTTTACATTTTACTTTTTACCTTTTTTATTTTTTATTAATCTGGAGTTGTTGAGTAATTAAAAATGTTATATATTAAGAACAACAAGCACAAAAAAGCACTCATACGAGTACTGACCGCCCAAAAACATACATCGGTCAAACTGATAGAACCTTTAACAAACGTATAGTTTAACATAAAAAGACTTCCATAATAGGAAAACAGATTCCAGGCGCAAACTTTACCTTCTAGATTATTCTTTTAATGCCGAATTTAAATTTCCCCATATTTAAAATAAATGCCTAAAGCTATCTTTATTGATATATATATATATATATATATATATATATATATATATATATATATATATATATATATATATATATATATATATGGAAATTAATATAAAAAATACAGATACTATACAGATACATAATATTTCCTCCTCAACTTATTCAGTAAGTGACAGTAGTAACAAGACTTAAGTGTGGGCGCATAGTAAAAATATATCACTTGCATAAGAAAGGCATGCTGCCAAAATAGCTATGCTGAAAATAAGTTGTAATAAATGTTGTGGAAGTATAAAAAACAAAAGTTGTCAGATTTTTTTATTCTTAGATCAAATTAACTTCCATCAAGTAACGGTCGAATCCATCACTCAATTATATCAAATTTCAATTATAGAAGAAGAAAATTTCATTCACTAACGTCAGCAGTATAGATTCCAGTCAGTTACGTTAACGGTGATTTTCCTTATTTAACGTGGTCTCTAAAATAAATTTAAGTTTGCATTTGTTAATAACGAATATTTGTAGTTTATATAAGTTTGTGAGGTGGTATATTTCCTTTTTAAATTTATTTATTTATTTTTAATATCTTTTAAAACTGGATCTCCCTGAAGTACTGATCAACATAAATATGAACGAGTTTTTCTTAATAGGCTTTATGAAAAATACTAATAATAATATCAAATCTATTTTATATAATACATCCTATTTGTAATCATGTTGTAACGAAAGTATTTTGCCTACCAAAGGGTTCATTAATACAGGGGGTAGAAAATTGAGAGAAGAAACTATTGGGGGTGGAGATAAGGCAAGCAAAATAATCGCTACTTGTGCGAACGGCACTCAGGGTTTGGTAGGAGAGCTGGGGTCGTGGATAAGTAGAAGATAAGAGGGGTTTGGAATGGGCAACTACAAAAAATGAAATAAAGGGGTCATTAATCTCTTGGGATAAACAAAATAAAAATAAACAGGAAACACCTCAAAGAATTTAATATAGGGCGCCACTTGAGGTGCCTAATTATACCTATTACAACCACTAGTTGTAACTAGGGAAATAATTATAAAACATCAAAAAATATCTTTTTCAAATAAAAATCAAAAAAGGGTTAGTTCAAAAAAATAAATAAAATGTTAAGAAAACAAAATTTAACATTTATTTTTGTATCACCACAAACAGTTACAACATGAAGAAATACAAGAATACAAAAAACTTACGTGTTTCATCCGCTTATAAACTCCAGGAGTTGGAGATACTACATAAAACTTACAAATGTTACCGCATTACAGTTTTTAAATGTTACAATTTCTAAATTTTAACGAAAGCAATTATTGTTCTAAAGAAATATCTGTCTTTACTTTGAAATTAAACAAACAATAAACAGTTACCTGGATTCATATATTTCCACTTAACGAAAAGAAAAAAAAACTTGTTACATCTTTGGATTAGAGCTGCTGGGACGAAACTCTGGAACAAGGGGAAACCAATTCCACACTGGAACGAAGATCTGACATAGACGGGGTTGGATTAAGCAGGCAAATGACCAAAAAAAGCTGGTGGGCCATCCTATATATCTTCAAAACTGTACCATGCTCTGGTACATCACACAAATTATTTTTTCTACTGCCACATATTTCCACAAAAAGGGCCAAAACAGGATAAACACGAATTCGACGACGAATTCGGACCCATACCTGACAATACGAAGACCCAAGTATGAATTAGATCCATACTTAACACTACGAAGGCCCAAGTATGAATGACGAATTTAAGAATTCGTTCATATAAATTGAAAACAAAACACATCAACACAGAAATTAAAACGTAAAAGATTCCACTTCTACAACGTATAAAAATTATAATGCGACTTCGAATAAAACATTAAAAGAAATTGCCGAAAAAGTTAAAATAATAAACAACTCTAAAATGGTTTATTTCAACATCTAGCAATGCAAATACAATTATTGAAAACACTTTTGCGTATTTTAACTTGAAAGATACGAACTAACAAACACGGAAAAAATTCTTCGTTTTATTTTTTAAACATATATAAGGAGATTTCAATATATTTCATATACTAGGGGATCTCAACCCGCTTTTGGAATAATCGGTTATAACCGCCAAGTAAATCCGTAAGTAAAAAAACTGATATAGCCGAAAACCGGTGTTTTGTCCACAACCGCCATCCCTCCTGGAGTTCCGCCACCAAAAACGTTTGAGAACCACTGATCTAATTTATGATACTAGAAAGTTTTTGTAAATTTGGTCATACAGTTTCCAAATCTCTCTTCCATAAAAATATTTCCGTTAAGTTGTAATTTTTTAAATATTATCGTTCTTTTTTATTTCAGAGACCCCATGGATGATGATTCTGACGACAAGGACTCAAAACGGTAATATTATTTTAAAATATCGAAAAAATGCATTTTCATCTGTAATTGCTTTTAGAAAATCTAGAAATTTAAGCGAGAAAAAACGAAGAGACCAATTTAATATGCTCGTTAACGAATTGAGCTCAATGGTGTCTACCGGTAGTAGAAAAATGGACAAATCAACTGTACTTAAGTCAACTATTTCGTTTTTAAAAAATCATAATGGTAAGAAGGTCTATAAGAGGGTGTCTTAAAAATCACGCAAGAAGTAATTTGTTTGAAATAATGAGAAACACAATCTTTGATTGAAAATATTTGATCGATTTATAAAATATACACTGTAGGGCTTCATATGCAGTAACATGTCAGGTATATCATCATCATCAGTAGCTCGACAACCCATTCTGGGCCCTGGCTTGTTCTAGGATTTTCCGCCATTCTGTTCTGTTCTTTGCTTTGTTTTTGACGTCTAGAACAATTTATTTATTGCGTGAATTTTCAGACACTTTCACTTCTCTTTTAAGATTATTGGTAACTACTTATAAATTATTTATAGAAGTTACTGTGAGATCTCGAGTAAATGAAATTCAAGAAGACTGGAAGCCTACGTTTTTAACCAATGAAGAATTCATCCATTTAGTGTTAGAAGCCGTCGATGGTTTTATAATCATATTTTCTACTTCAGGACAAATTTATTACACGTCAGAAAGTGTTGCTTCGCTTCTAGGATATTTACCCGTGAGTGATTTATTTGTGTACTGTAATTTAAGTTTAAAATATTTGCAAAAGGCTTCTAAGGGAGAGCCCCCACCAAACTGGTATGGGAAGTAGAAAGTAGCGCGCGTCTAGCATGTTACTTATAATGTAGCCAATGTAAACGAATGATTCAGCGCACACCAAAATGACAGTTACAGTGGCGTCATAAATGTCATTGCCATGCCACGTCGTTAAAAATAGAGCTTATTCTACTTGTTGCCATATGCTATTTGCATTTGTATATTATGTGTTAAAAATTTTAAATATGAAAGACAGTCCAGAATTTAATATTCGTTTTGTCACATTAATTGAGAAATTTTTAGGTATCTATGACAACACAAGTCCGGAATTTTTTAATTCTTTAAATACATTAAATCTACTATGCCTTTGCATCTCTTTACAATAAGGGTGTACCTACTCAAAACTGATGTTGCAGATGAGTTGTGTTCATATTGTTGACGTTTAAAAACGTTATAACTTTATCTTCAGAGGGCGATATTTTGAATTTAACTAGTCTTTTTATTGTCATGCTACTTTAGTGTGCGCTACCTGCCATGCTAGTGACGTGCTCGTGCTATGTAACTCCCATGTTACATGTCACGACAGTTTGGTGGACGCTCTCGCTAAATGAAACAGCTGTATTATGTAAATTTCTTTCAAAATTAAGTCTTCAGTCCTGTTTGGGCTGAACAGTTGGATTTTTTAAAAGTAACTCATATTTTATAATATAAACATGGTACTAGATTTTTAATTCAATACAGAGCGGCGGCAACTGCTTATACAGACAAAATCGTTTATAACGAACTTCAGGGGACTGGTGGTTGTTGTACGTTGTAGCCAGTGTTCTCTGTAAGCGGTTCTATCGGTTATAATGAACAGGTTGCTATAAACGATATTACACTAGTAGGGATAGTTAGTTCGTTGTACCTAGGTTTATGATGCAAAATGTGGTACTTTATCTATACTTATAATATGTTATAATAACATATAGGGGAGAGTGTTCCACAATCAGACACAAAATAGATTTTGCTAAGTGTTGACCTTGTTTATTGAACCAACCAAAATATGATTATCACTAAAATAAATTAAGGCTAAACATAAGTTTTTATGGTAGAACAAACATCATAAACCAAAAACTAATTTAAAAAAAGTTTGTTTAACAAAGGAAGGACAGTTGCCTGATAGTGGAACACACATGTTCCACATCCAGACACTGCATGTTCCACAATAAGACAAAAGGTAATAATGTTTTAACGAACTTCTAAAGCTGAAAAATTTACTTCAAACTTCAAATAAGATTGTTGCCGCTTTGTTGTTCCCACATGTGCTGGTTTTGGTAACACCATCTTAATGTTTTCCAAACATACCAATGAGACGTCTTCTATTTCGGGGTAAATGAAGCTGTTATTATACTTAATGGACTTTCTCAAAAATTTGACCTCGCATTCCTTATTCTTTTTACAGAACACTTCAGCTATGTAATAATTTTTTTTCTTTTTGTCCATAAATTCTATTAAAATAAAATCGCCAACTTCTGGCTCTTTATTAAGCTTATCTAGAAGTGGTGGTGGATCGATTTCTCCTACAAAATCAATATCATCTTCGGAACTTTCGGTTACAAGCATCGCCGCGTCATCATTTTCTTCGTCTGTTGAGTCTTCATCCATTACTTTTCTTTTCACGACCTTATTCTTCTTAACACTTTTTTTTCTTTTTCGCTCCATTTGTTTACCTTCTAGGGCGATCTTTTCTGGAGTGTCCGTGGCGATAATACTTTTAGCTTTTTCTCTCTTCTTTCTCTGATTTTTTCGTTCTTCAGCTTTTGGGTATCCTTTAAATTGTTGTGGACTTACGAAAGTTTCTTTGTGATTTTATGTAGGTGTTGTGTTTAAACTAACTGATACTGAAACTAAGGAGTCTGACATTATATTTTCTTCAATGCATCTTGATGTTGATGGTTAATTTGGATCCATAAGTCGTTGAGCTTCTTCATTGTTTTGATCCCCATTCCTGTCAGTTACGCTGCTAATTGCAAAGTCGTCATCTGTAAATATGAATTTATCGAAGGGATAAATCCCTGTAACCGAAGATTAAATTATTCATTTATTGTTATAGAATCTAGGTATATCTTTAAAATACAAAATCTTATCTTAATAGTAATATGTGACATAAATATCTGTAGAGCAAAAATAAGTTCGGCTAATGGATTAAGACCACAGTCAGGAAATTCGATGACACACACACACACACACACACACACAAGGGATAAATCCCAGTTTTTCGAAATCCGGATTTGATATTACCGGGCGTCATCGATTTTTCAAATGCATAAGCAACACAGCCAGCGATATCAAAAATAGAAACAGGTATCCCAGGGTACTCTAAAATCCATGTTTGTAAGGCAGTATTGTAGAATGATTTAAACGAAAAAAACACCGAGACATCTAATGGTTGCAGCTTGTTGGAAGTATGTGACGGTAAGGTCAAAATGATCACTCCATTTTCCTTGGCTAGATTTATTCCTTCTATCGTTAGATGACTCTCGTGATTGTCAAAAATTAAGAGAGAAGTTGTCATCCCGAATCGGAAACCAATCCCAAAGTACCATGCGGTGCTCCATAAGTCATTCGAGGATTAAACTTTTTTCGTGGAAAAATCATGACTGGTGGTATTGTATTCCCGGATGCTGATATAACACAACAAGTGGTGACCAGTAAACCTCGTTCGGCGCTCGTACAGGAGGAGACCTGCTTGATCCCTCTCTGAGCAAAAATCTTTTGCGGTTTTTGGACGGTTGTGGTGGTAGTTTCATCTAAATTATAAATTCTTGTACCGCTGCAAAAATTTCCATTGTTCTGAAACACTTTTTCCAAATTTTTGAAAAAAAGCCCAACATTGTGTTTGTTGAATGATGTCGCTCTGGAGAGGCTACATCTTTCCGGCTAGCAAAGACTTAATTCTGCATGTCTGGACATAAATCCAAGGAACCATTCGCGTCCAGCTTCCTTGTTTGTTTGCCAATTTTCCGGAATTTTACAATTATTAATAGTTGCCATTTCATAAGCCAGTTCTCTGATATGATTGACCGTTTGTCCGTAACACATTTTTAAGCAAGTTAATACGTAATCGGCTAGGGCTTTTTTTTATTTTCAGAAAAAACTTTTCTACAAGCATAATTTGGAGCCATTTTAATCTCTTTGGTGGGATTCTGTTTTTGCCTTTTTACATATTTATAAACCGTTTGAAATTTTAAATTGTATCTTTCAGCTGCTTGTCTTAAAGATATCTTCTCTTCGGTGACTGCTCTAACATCAGCTCTCATGGATTGTTCATCAAATTGCCCTTTATCGCTTTTTCGCTGACGTCCTCGAGCCATTTTTCCTGAAATATAAATTAAATTTTTACAAAAACAATTACTTTTTCAACAACACTCCAAACAAGCGTTGTGTTCCACAATCAGACAGTGTCTGATTGTGGAACAAACATGCTGTCTGAAGGTGGAACACAACCTACAATACAAAATTAAATTTAACTGTGACCTTCATACATAACCTACAAAAGTAAACTTGCTTATAAAATGCCGACAAAATAGCCAAAATCTTATGTAAAGGTTGTTTTTGTAATACTAGTTTCAGAAGAAAAAATAAAGCATATAATATCATATCAACGATAGAAAAAACTTACCTTGAAAAACGATTTTTTATTAAAAAATGCACAAAACCAAGAGTACAGCGTTCAAACTTTGTTTACCACATTGGCGTGTATAACCTCACTATCCGAACGAAAAACGTCAAACTTACGGCGGGAATTTCAAAATTCCATGCTTTGTCTGATTGTGGAACATGTCTAATTGTGGAACACTCTCCCCTACATAACATTTAACATATGTGTTTATTGTACTTACACAAATCTAAATATATACATACATATATGTATAATATGTATTGAAATAATATATAAGTAGTCAATAAAGTATACTCATCATATAAATGTAGGCATACATATACTATTTATTTTAAAAAGACAAAGAAAATATATACATTTATGTATTACAAAATATGTAAATACAACATTTTACCTCAATATTTAATGAAAAAAGTGTTAAGTCAATGATTTAACAGGTAGTTTGGTTTAGATATGTAGCAGTGTCTGAAGAATCAATTGGAATTATTGTAACACCCTGTATGTAGGTCCCCCACTTATATCACGATAAATATATAACTTGTAGTTATTACAGCGCCTTGAATATAATCACAAATACTGTGTCTAATATGATGTAGGATAGCCGATAAACAATAATTAAATATTTTTCTTCGATTTGTTGAGAAAGCACACCTTAAATGTGATAACCTACTTGCTTATGTGTTCAAGGGACCGTAAAATCTCCCAAGAGGTTGTACTCATTAGTTACATGTCCCCTGAAGTGGACCGATTTCGTAGTCAGCTAGGCACAAATATTTACAAAACATTAAGTACAAATATTGTTGTATTATTTTATGCTTTTGATATATATTTGTTAATAAAGATAGTCATTGGAATAAATAAGAAAATGTTTTATTTAAAGAAGGCTTATAAGTAAACATACAGGGTGCGCCATTAATGCGAGGAATTCCAATTACTTATTTGTAGTAAGAGATACGAAAAAAATTATTATGGTAAAAGTTGGAGTACAGGTAGGACCATAGTCCAAAAATATTTTCATATATACAATGCCATCCATATTGACGAACTGGAACAAATTTATCTGTTTTTTAATGGAACGCCCTGTATATTTTTGGGCTTTTCTTGATGTTCTCGTTTTTTCAATATATTGTAACGATAAGATTACTTTATCGTTACTTAGAGAGATAAAATAACTTAATTCTACCAGTAAAGTATGCAACCAACTATACATGGAATTGTATTATCAGTTGTTTATCAATTGGTCAAACTGCTTACCTGCCGTTTCCATAGAGGTGTCCAAAAGATGGAGTAATAACTTTCCATAGAGGTATTAATCCGCCAATAAATAAACAGAATTGCTTACAAATGGTAAAAACAAAAAGAAGAAGAAATAACAGTGACAAATCAATAAAAAATTGCTTTGAATTCAATTGTTAACGAAAATCACTAAAGTAGCGTCACTTAAGCACTATAATTTCGTAAATAACATTGTCATCTGACCGACATGAAATTTTGACAGTATGCTTTTGAAGATTAGGACTTTCGAGATATCAGACTATAGACATATAATAGGTAGATACAAAATATGTCTATGATCTGACATCTTGATAGTCTTAACCTTCAAAAGCATTATATGTGTTAGATAAAAATTCACTAGAGTCGCCATTTCATGGTTGGACATGGGACTTATCGACCGATGTATGATATGATTGGAAGTAGTTGTGTTTTGTTTCTTACATGATTTATTACAAATTTTATTTTATCAAAAAATACAGCTGTTTAAAAAAAAATAATGTTACATATAAAATAATTAGTGTTTTTGGTTCTAGTACACGTTTTCTTTCTAAAATTTCAGCGGGACATACTAAAGATGACAATATATGAGCTTACAAGTGAAGAAGAGCACTCTAGTCTATACAATGTACTTAATCCGTCCGAAGAAGAAAAACCAGTGGCCTTTTCCTGTCACATGAAAAGAGGGGGTCCTGGATCCAAAACTGATGCATTATACGAGTTGGTGCATTTTATGGGATACTTTAGTAAGTAGATTTTTTTAATACTTTATGACATGACATAAAATTTGTTAAATTAATTATCTTTTATATAAGTTAAGTTGTGTATTCAAAAAGAAAGAAAGCCAAAAACAACAAAGGGTCAAAACCAGGGAAGATAGAAATGGAACTGCTGGAATATGGAGGCGCAAGGATCGTGTCATTTATACAAGGAGTGTTCAATAAAATCGAAGCAGGAGATTCCAGAGAAGTGAAATATTTATTATGAGACACGTGATAGAAAAGAACAAAAAAAAATATTGAAACACATATGACCTTTATACACTTGGAGAAAGCATATGATCGGAGCACTCTAGTTCGCTCCCAAGGTCAAAAACCCATCTTAATTACATACTAGTTCGCTCCGAAAACTATAACCTAGTTCGCTACCGTGGTCAAGCGGATTAAGTATTTATCTATTTTACTTGCCTTTACCTCGTTTCTTGTTTATATTCTGTCCCATGCCTGGTTTGTTACCACGTTTTCCTTTTCCCTGTTATTGCAGGTCTAATTTTTTGCTCGTTTCGATGAGTTTGTCTATGGTTTTTGTCTACATCAGGTTTGATGTGTCATGTGTCAACAGGTGTGTCAACCTATTTGGGCAGGTGTTTTTTATGGTCTGTTGAGTTTTAAGTTTGAGACGAATTTCGACAGGAAGGAACTGAAAGGTTAGGTGATCTCTGTTGCAGTCTTTGCCTGGATAAGTTTTTGCGTTTTTAATGAAGGTTTTGAAAGGGGTCTTAATCAGGATATAGTTATTTTGGTTCCAGTATCTTTCGTCTGGTGAGCGACATGTGTAAAGACGTCTTCGATGGTGTTTATAGAATATATTCATATATTAATACTGTATTATTTTAGTCTCGGATATACGCCACTAAGTCTAATAAATTGTGAATTGACCTTTACCACAAAAATATTATATTCGCACTCTTACTTGTCACACACGTATATCCACTCTCGTGTATTTATTAATAATTAAGATTAAATGTTACGCACCAATTGCAATTTTAATGAGGTAATAATTATACAAGGATTACAGTAAATTTCTACAATGAATAAATACTATTAGTAGATAATTTTACGTCATATAACGGTACAAGAAAAGCGCGGAGTGTGTTAGAATGTCAAATGATTTTAACAATAAAATTTAAAATATTAGCATACTTATAACACTGAGTGTACAATTATATATAACCACTGTACAGAATAATGCCAGTTTTATTTATTTTCATAAATTCTGGGTCAATAAAACTTTGAAGAAGATTTTTTAATATGACTGTTTTAAGTCATGTTTGATTCAAGATCACTCTTAGATATTTATCTTCTTGAAAAAGCTTATTTGATATTCTCCACCATTGAAGTGTGTTCTTTTCTACTTCGTGTCCAATTTGTTTAAGTACAGAAGCAAGGTAAAGCAACATTTTGTCTAACGCAGATATTAACCGATGGCTCTGTTTTATCTGAAAACATCCGTATTAATTTACATTCGTTTTTATGTCGGAATTTAACAAATCATGAAAGGTAAAACAGTAGCACCAGATGATATTTATGGGAAAGTGTGAATAGCTTTAGAAGAAACAAGAACACGTTGTCTAACAGGTTTGTTAACAGGTTGTTTGTTTGTTTGTAATAAAATGATAAAGGTGAACCAAATGCCAGCGAAATGGAGAAGCAGAATATTAGTAACTATTTAACTGGGAATAAGCCACAATTAAAGATAAAAATACGTTTATTGACGTTTTAATTTCCACTTCGGAAATCGTTCTCACAATACCTGCTTATGTTTTGTTCAATTTTAGTAGATTTTTCCAATTCAAGTTTACATAACACTCTGTATTCTTCCTTTTCGTGGGTTGGTAAGCATGGAGATATTTTCTCCACTGAGCTTATTATGTCTAATTTTGGAACGGACGGCTGAGTAATAACAAAGTTTAGACCCTTTGACAGTATTAAATTCTCCGTTGCATTTAAATGTCTATTTGATAGATTGACAACTGTCGCTAATATGTCATCATTTCTATTGAGGTTATCTTAAGTATGTATACTGTTTTGTTCTAAAAGAATATTAAATTTATTTAAATGTATATTTCTTTGTTTTCTATATGAATTGTCATATAATATATGTAAACTAAAAACAATTTGAAACTCTTCTGAATACAATGTACAAAATATTCTCCAACACCCTGTACAGCCGTTTAAGTACGTACGTGGAAGAAATCCTTGGTGAGTATCAAAGCGGTTTTAGGCCAGGTAGGTCAACAATTGACCAGATTTTTGTGCTACGTCAAATCTTAGAAAAAACCAATGAATTTAATATTGACACGTTCCATCTCTTTGTGGACTGTAAGTCAGCGTATGATAGCGTCCTAAGAGGTAAATTATACGAAGCCATGAATGAACTTAACATTCCTCATAAATTAATAAGGCTCGTAAAAACAACTATGAGTAAAGTGATCTGCAGAGTGCAAATACAAGGCGATATGTCACAAGCGTTTGAAACATATGCAGGGTTACGGCAGAGAGACGCGCTGGCGTGCCTTCTCTTTAATATAGCGTTAGAAAAGACTATAAGAGATGATGAGTTACACAATAGGGGAACAATCTTTAATAAATTAACGCAGATTATGGCTTACGCTGACGATCTGGATTTGATCGCACGTACTACACGAAGACTTAAAGAGATGACTTCCACCTTCTTGACAGCCGCACAAAATATGGGCCTTAAAATAAACGAGGAAAAAACCAAAATGTTAGCATCTATTCCAAATAACAGAGATAGAGCTAGAATCGCCGAACAAAACTTCAGTATAGACCAATATAATTTTGAGGTAGTAAATAAGTTTACATATTTGGGTTCTCTCATAACAAACGATAATGACACATCTGAAGAAGTTAAACGGAGGGTACTGCTAGCAAACAAATATTATTTTGGACTAAGCAAGCAGCTAAAAAACAGAAATTTAAGCCAGAAAACCAAACTAATAATATATCGAACATTCATCCTACCAGTGCTGACATATGGGTCAGAAACATGGACCATCTCCAAAACAGACGCAAATCTTCTGCTCGTCTTCGAAAGGAAGATACTAAGAAGAATAATGGGCGCATTCTGTGAGAATGGTATTTGGAGAAGGCGATATAATTTCGAATTGTACGAGAAGTATAAAAAAATAGTAAATGGTAGAGATGTAATATCCTTCATAAAAATAGGTAGGCTTAGATGGGCTGGACATGTGTCCAGCTCTATTATCGGTCCCAGTGGAAAATAGGAGTAGAGGTAGACCACGACTGAGATGGAGGGACGATGTGGATGAGGACGCAAGGAAAATCGGCGCGGCAAATTGGCAACGGTTGGCGATGAACAGAAACGACTGGCGAAATAGACTGGGGAAGGTCAAGGCTCAACTAGAGCTGTAGCACGTAGCATTAAAATGAGAATTTGATATCACATTAAAAAGCAAATCTTCAGTACTTACAATATCTTGTTCAACAAAAAATAAATTCGATCTATGATATTGTAATCTTTCTCGGATCATGGACAAACTGGCTCTATGTAGAATGTTTTCCAACCTTCTGCTTAAATATGCTGGACGTAACTTCAAGCCCTTTGGTATTAGGTTGTTGTCTCTACATCTTCGTAAAAATTTAATTGAATTTTGACAATGTGCCAGTTTCTTGTATAGAATTTCCAATCTCCGAAAATTTTGATTAACGCTGGGCCCAAAGGATTTTGAGAACGATTTCCGAAGTGGAAATTGAAACGTCAATAAACGTATTTTTATCTTTAATTGTGGCTTATTCCCAATTAAATAGTAATTAATTTAAAATGCCACAAGAAAATAGCTTCAGAACAATATTAAGAATATTAGTACTTGTACAAGGCTCAAAACCAGGCTCGGTACTTAAGCGGGGATCTGACAAAATGTTTTTTTATTTAACTTCCAAATATACTTACAATCTGTAAGATAATTACAATAAGTAAATTGTCTGACAATATTTAACAATACAAATATTATTAAAGACAAAATGTCAATTATCACAGGACAATTTCTCCTGTGTATTCTTAGCACTGGAATAGTGTCACAAATGTTTTAGGGTTTGGTTAGGCTTCTGCTTCTAGATTCTATTTGGCTTCTGCAACTAATTCATAGTTAACAGGTCGGCTGGGTCTTTCGTTTGAGTCTTCGTCCGATTGGATGTGCCATTAAATTTTAGACTGTTAGTCTCTAAAAATTTTATTTTAAATCCTTTATAAAAGGTATATAATAAAATGCCCAAACGGGCTATCACAATTACATTACAGAACGTTTTCGGAATGTTAATTCCATCATCAGTGTAAACGGAGTATACATGCTATGAGCCACCAAAATATATGGGTCAAAACCCTTTAAATGTTACAAATTTATAGTTGTTTTACATTATTTATAATTACAAATTAGGATGTTTAAGTTACCGTTGGAATTGGTAACATGGCGACGTATGACCCTACATAGGTTATATGGTCCTGAGGCGAAGTGTCTTCGAGGACCTGTTGATACCTTTTATAAAGGATTTGAAATAAAAAAAATTGTGATATATGGTATACAGCCAGCTACAGGAATTTAGTTTCCTAGTGGATGTTAGTCTCTGTTCATATCGTTGGCAGATTTTGGTGAATTCGATGACAGTTGTCATGTTAGTTGCCATCGTCTTGTTTGGAGCATTGGTTATTATCCAGAGGAGTTTGGATTGAAATTTATCAAGAATATCAATTCTGGATCTGGCTGCTGTCCCCATAGCTGAATTCCATAGATCCAAATTAGTTTTAAAATAACTTTGCATGTTCAAATTTATGTTCAAATTTTCTCGATTTTTGACAGATTTTGTTGACATAATGTGAAGCGGTTTTCTTCATCAACGAAGAAAAGTAGAAAACAGATAATAGAAAAAGACAAAATCTAAAGACGGTAACCAACGTAACGTGGAATACCGTGTTTACTATCAATATT